GATCACCCATATTGGCTGATTTTCGAGCTCGTGGTCGACGTTTCGTTGTCGCTAAGAAGAAACTTTCATTTACCAGAGCTCAAACATTTGAAAGCCTTACTTCCTCGCAAAGGCGTGGCCGAGAGCGGACTACCAACAGTATTGTACGGGAATGGGGTATACTGAGGCGATGGTGATGGGTAAGCTGAACCACTCCCAACAGAACGATCATCAGCGAACTCAAAGACATCTGTTGATACGGAAGCTAAACCGACAGCAGCCGCAGCACTCACGGTATGCTGCAAAGCAATTATTATATTTTACACTCGGACCTGTAGCATAGGCTGCCACGAAAAGTCAACCGAGCCTAAATGCAGCAATTTCAGTTTAGGTATCGCCAGTGTGTGAAATGTCTTAAGGTTATGGGTTCTCATTTCCGTACAAGGTCATCGCGCGTGGTACTAATGGAATGAGATATGTTTCAGATAAAGTTATTCAAGCAAATTTGACATCTAATGACCGAAACTTCGTCAAAATTGTTTTCTGACCCTTTTTTGAAAATCTTCGTTTGTATCGGATGGAAGTTTGTAATTTGATGCACATAATGCATTTATCTAGAGGGTAAGAAGCCATTGTGTTTCCAAAAATGCAAAATCACGCTCACGCTCAGAGATGGTTTTCACATCTGTTTATCGCACCTACAACGTTATCTAACTTCTCCTCTGACGTATTTGGACAATTTCACGCCAGCTTGATTCATGATTCCTTCGTTCGACTTGAATGTACCGATGTTGTTTTCGCTATGTTGCAGTTGAGGTGCATGCAGCATTTGATAAAGATAAAATTAATATCTTGTACCGAGTATTTGCGCATAAAGAGCCGGCTATACGTCACGCAATTTCATCGCATTGCGATTTCCTCACCAGGACAACTGGTATAAGTCCGCTGAATACCGATTATCTTGCATTTCGTTAGTGTAGTCATTCACAATTGGTCGCATCGGAAAAGTAACAGCCGAAATTGCAAGATGATCTGATGCATGAACTCACAACAGTGATCTTGTTGGAAGAGCGAGGTGATGAAATTGCGCGATGTATGACAAGACCTTGAAATTGATCCCAAAAACGCACGACCGGTGTATATATGAAAAACGTCGGCATCGCTACTTTTGATCGAAAAAAGAACTACTAAAACAATGATAGCATATTACTGACCTTCATGTTAAGCCTTGCCGTCTCAAGTGGGCTAAGCTGCGGTACACCACTGCCTGGACCCTGGCCAGTGCCACCGATACCACCCAAAGGGGGTCGCGGTGCTGGGCTGGTCGAGGGTCTAGCCGTTAGAGACGGCGTCGATGTCTTGCTGTCGTCATCCATACTATCAGCCAGTTGACATATCGCCTCCTAAAGACACAGAGTTGAGACCAGCCCAGCAACGCTGCTTTTGCACTCCAGTAATCAGTTGCCAGTTCTTATTTCAAATATCTTGAGCTAAGTCTAGCTAAACAGAATTTTTAGAAATGACAACTGCGTACGAGTGTCATGAAGTTGGCATGCTGTGTATTTAATTCCAGCATTGCCAACCCCAAAATATGAACCCCTACCAAGTCCGAGATAGCCAACGCAGTGTCAGACTGCACCCGCTGTGTCCGTGCTTCTGCTCGAGCAGCTGCTGCTGGTCGACTACTAGTGTCACAAGTGATTTCCTTATACGAGGCAAGAAGCCCACCACGAGTTGCCATCGGTACTGCATGCACCTCATAGGTAAACTCTGGTGATTTTGGTCGACGTGGCTTATTTTGTTGTTTTCTGCTGTTTAACATTGGCAACCAAGCATTGCCAACTTTATCCAAATGCGATACAA